TTCAAGATCAGAGTCCGATAAAATGCAGTCCCTTGCCATATCATTAAATTACTTGCATCAGGAGCATAATCAATACCTGCTTACGTCTTTCCTCAGTCCTCTCAGCCTGCAATAGAAAATATTTTGTTAAACAATGGAGCATGCAATAAATGTCAAGGCTACAGAAGTAAGCAAGTAAAACACAGACAACTCTGTTGAATATTTTCTGAAGAATATTTTTTCACTCTCAGTCTGGTGGCACGTTACATAATTTTAGTTAGTCATTTTTTATTTTTGGTGCTGGGCATCTGTTTGGCCAGTATGGTTAGGCCTCTTGGCTCTCTTTGTTATATTTTGTGGACTGCTTTATAGTGTGTTTGTTCTTAATAAATTTCCTTCGTTCAGAAGAAAAAAAGCAAGACACAGATATGAAAGTACAAGGTCTTAACATCTACTTAAAAACCAAACAAATTACAAATAAGTACAAGATCTTGAATATCATGGCTGACCTACAGAGGCGCAGGTGCACCTCCCCTCGTCGGAAAAAAAGCCATGGAGGTGCTAGATTTGCCCCTCTGTGCTAGCGCCCAAGGTTTTAAAGCACTATGTAAGGGGTCTGGAAATTGCCTCAAGGAGCCAATCGTTTGGCAAGTTACACATACTAGCATGGTTCAAGACGATGCAAGGTGCACAATGTGTTGCAGAGGAGTCTCTAATGGAGGCTGAGGCGATGGTTCACGAAGGAAGAAGATAACTCTAAGATAACTCTATACCCTAATTTTCTTTTTCACAAACGACGTCGTCCTTTAGTTTTGTTTAATGAAACGCACGTTTCATTGAAGTTTATTAAAAGTCAAACTCTACCGTTTTGGTGAAATAAAATTCCTTTTCCTACCCAAACTCTGACAAAATTAATAAATAAACAATAAATTAATAAAAACCTTACTTACAACCCAACTAGTTAAAAGTGAAATGTTGAGTCTTGACCAATCTGTTAAAACCAAATCGTTATCACTGCAGCATATATGTATGTATAATTCTGCAAACCTCCCCTAGCTTATTCTTATTTCTTTAGCAAGTCAGCCTAGATAAAAATAGTTTTAAGATTGATTATTTTGCTTCAATTACTTGATTATAGCTATTGTAATATATATTTTATTATAATAATCATTTTAATATGTTCTTTAATTTTATTTTTTTAAATTCCGTCCTATCAAAATGTTATTGCCTCTCCTTTGAAAACTTCCTGGATCCGCCACATATTATATGAAACAGAACCATACATTCAAAATATGACTTTTTAAGCGATAACCTGTTATTAAGTTAATACAATGTTAACTCTTAATTTTGTGTCACTCCACAATGTACTCTCATGATCCGAATTGCTTGTTTTTTTAGGTTCCTATATCAACGATCATTTTCTTGCATAAATTCACCCAATTCTGAATTTTGTTTAGCCATTTGACTACTATCAAGGATATATTCATCGTTGATTAAAAATATTATTTTTGTCTATTTATTTTATCACCGTTAAATAACTAAACGATATTCATTTGAGTGAATTTTTGCAAGTTTGATCTTTAAATTAATCAGGCTTAAATAATTAATTAAATTGTTCGAATTATGAGATACATTGTATATAGTGGGCCCGAACAAGTGGGTAGGTCGAATTAGCCTGATTTTAGGTGCTCTATTTTAGGCTAATGACCTACCCACTTGTTTAGCCTAAAATTGGGAAAAAAAGAAGAAGGAAAATTTGTATAAATACCACCTGAACTTTTAGGTGCTCTATTACCACATGAATTTTTAATTTTTATTTTTAACCACCTGAATTTTGTAAAGTATTGCAATTCACCATATGCATAACTCCATTAAAATTTCCGTTAAGTTTAAGGGCATTTTCGTCTGTTCCTTTAACTAAAAATAAATGTAAAAAACAGAATTTTTTATATATAAAGTTAACCTAATTATACCACACCTTCCCCAACCCCTACCCTACCGTACTCTATATTTCTCTATTTCTTGGAATCTTGACGTGGGTTGTTGAAATTGAATTGCAAATATAGCTATAGACCAACCAAGCTCTAGTGTGCTAATGGAATCACAACCCATTTCTTCTGTAACAACCCACACAACAAGGAAATTTAGGCTTAAGTCTCGAGCCAAGAAGACAAATATTTGGAGATCATAAAGGGCATAACTACTTGGTTATTATTATTATTTTTTATTACCATGCAATTTATTATAGACATGTCCATTATTATTTAATATAAAGAAACAAAGTTCGCAAAATAATTTAAAATAATTAATTACTATTTATTAAGTAATTTATGAAATCAATAAAAAAATTCGAATACTCACTAAAGAAAGGATAATTAAAACATAATTACTAATTAAAATAATTAAAAAAAAGACTAAGATATTACTTAATTACATATATTAAATCAATGAAGTTGGCCAAAAAACTAAAACAAAGAAACTAATTTTATATTTAAAAAAAAAAGAGAGTATAGCCACACGGGGTACACTATTTCTTTAAAAAAAATTAGAAAAAAAGAGTATAGCCACCCAACTATCTTGTTTCTTTAAAAAAAAATTGTACAAAAAAGAAATGTATGGCCGCGCAGCTATACAATTTGTACCGCGTATAGCCGTGCGGCTATACTATTTATTCTCAAAACTGTGAAATCCGAGTATAGCTGGGCGGCTATACTATTTCTTTTAAAAAATAAAAACCGACTATAGCCGGGCGGCTATCCTATTTCTTCAAAAAAAATTAGAAAAAATGAGTATAGTACATATATATATACACATACACATACACATACACATATACATACATATATATATATATATATACAATTAAAGAGTATGGTTGTGCTGTTATACTATTTTTAAAATAGAAAAGAAAAAAAAATAGAGCCGAGTAAAGCCCCGCGGCTATACGATTAAATTTTTTTTTTTATAAAAAAAAAACCTTGTATAGCAGGGCGGCTATACTATTTCTTTTTAAAAAATTGGAAAAAAAACCGAGTATATCCGCACGGCTATACTATTTTTTCTTCTAAAAAAAAAAGTGAAATCCGAGTATATTTCTTTTTAAAAAATTGGAAAAAACCAAATATTGCAACGCGGCTATACTATTTCTTTTATAAAAAAATAAGAAAAAACCTAGTATAGCCTGGCGACTATACTATTTATTTTTTTAAAAACTGAGAAAAACTAGTATAGCCTCGCCACTATGCTATTTCTATTTTTTTAAAAATTGGCAAAATCCGAGTATAGCCACGTGGCTATATGATTTCTTTATAAAAAAAAATTGAAAAATCTTCATATAGCAGCGCTGCTATACTATTTGAATACATTATCTATATATATAAAGCAAAAGGAAGAGAATGGTGAAACATTCAAAAACCCCGAAAATACCCTTTGTCAAAGAAAAAATTAAAAACACACTATTTTAATTAAGAGAGGATGAAATAGTAAAACACCACTGACTTAATAAAAGAAAAAAGAAAAGAAAAAAAGAGTCATGCTGTGCTACCAGGTCCACAGGAGAAGGGTGAAGAACGGTTTAACCCACGAACAACGGTTGCCTAGAAAAGAAGAAGAACTGAAGAACGCATAGACAAATTAAAAAACAAATTGAAAAACCAACTCAAATCCGCTGCAATTCATGTCAGTTTTAACACTTCTCACACGACCCAATATCCTCATGCCATTACACAGCAGTTCCTTTCAGTTTTTTTGCTTCAATGAATCTTCTTTCTGCAGAGCATCAAGATGTCAAGGGCACGAATCTCTCTCTCTCTCTCCCTCTAATTTTTGGTTCCTGATGGAATTTTGCTTCAATTTCTGCTCTTTGTTTAATTTTTTTTTCCTGCGAAGCTTCAATGAGAAAGCATTTAGGTTTGATCTGTTTACTATCTCTAATTTTTGATTATATATGCTCTTTCTCTAGAGCACCAATGAAGAGCATTTAGATTTGATGATGTGAATGGTATGACTCTCTCTCTCATTTTGGTTTTGTTTTTGGTTCGCCAAATGGTTTTCTTTATTTTCCTGTCAATGACTTTCTTTATTTTCCTGTCAATGACTTTAGTTTTTCTGTGCAAGGAAGACATATGAAGATACTCGGCAACAGGTTGGTTGACAATTAAATTCTTCAGTATGTTTTGGATTTTTAATTTTATTTACTCTCGATTTGATTTTGATTTTTAATTCTTTTCCCTTCTCCTCAAGTTTGATTGCATTGCATTGATGTTTCTCTTTATCTTTGAAACATGGCCTTGCGGTTTAATTTGATTGTGCTAACACTATTCATCCATTCATACCCTCCATCTTCTTCCACACAATGAATTCCTCCACCTTTGTTGAAGTTTATCTCTTTTCTTTTGTGTAAGAAGAAGCAGGGGAAGACTTCCCCTATCTTAGAGCATCTACAAGATATTTATTATTATTTTTCTTTTTCAATTTTTCGATTTAATTAGTTTAATTCCTCCTTTGTATGCATCTAAGTGTGTTTTATGGGATTTGCTGCATACTGTGTTGTTGGCAAACAGATATCTATTGCATTTTTAGAAAGGATGAAAGCTGACTTTAGAAAAAGATATGGTGTGGGTCATATGCTGTAGGAGAAAGCAGCACAGTAGAGACTCAAAACAGAGAGAAGGGTGGGGAAGCATCAGGAATAAGGAATAAGAAAATAAAAGAAAAGAAAATCACACGTTAGACTTGGAGTTCTATTTCCACATAACTGCTGTTATTTCCTCATAACTGTTGCAGTTCCAAATTTCAACCGCATAATCAAAACTTCTTCGCCAATGTTCACAAATGAGTTCATTATATTTTTTTATCTTCCTTTTTTTTTCTGTTCTTTATACATGTTTCGGTTTCTTCTCCTATTTTGTTATAACTTATTGGAGTTGGGGGTCCAGAATCCCCCCTTTGGCAGAGCATCAGGTAAGAATCTTCTCTCTCGAAACTGCTCTAATTTTTGTTCCAAATACAATTCTAGACACATGGTAGTGGTTGCAACTGAGGTGATCTATTTTTTTGGTTCAGTTAATGCTGTAGATTATGTGCAGGTAAGACTTTGGTGGATATGTTTCTCTTTCAGTCTCCTTGATGTCGAACTAGACACTTTGTGTGGGACAAATGAAGAAGGTACCCGGTTTTCCAATTCTTTTGATGTGGCAAACGAAAGCACTATGTATGGTTATGTTGATTTCTCCTGGAAAATCAGAAGGTTCTTAAACATTGGATCAGAAGCAGCATTAAGGAAGAATATGAAAACCATAGATCAATTTGTTTATAAATTAATCAAAGACAAGATTGAAACAGTTCATAATTCAGAATATAAGCTACGAGCTGTGAGTTACCTTCTAAGTCATGTTTGTCCTAGATTGAATTAATTTCATGTTATTATTGATTAATATAATTGAATGAATGGCAGTTGAAGAAAGTAGACATTGTTTAAAGGCTTTTGGCATCGGAAGAGACTGATCCAAAGTACTTGCGAGACATGGTCCTCAGCCTCATTGCAGCCAGAAAAGACACAACAGCTAGCACTCTTACATGGTTTATTTATATGCTCTGCAAGCATCCTCATATACAAGAAAAGATTTCACAGGAAGTTAGAGAAGCAAAAAATCTGAAAGATAATTCAAGCATTGATGAGCTTTCAGACAACCTTACTGAAGAGGCCCTTGGGAAAATGCAATATCTCCTTGCAGTTTTGAATGAGACAACTAGGCTGTACCCTGCTCTTCCACTGGTAATTCTAATTCAAACACAATTGCAAGGCTAAGCTGATATAAACAACGTTGTCTGCTGACCTTTCTGAATTTTAATTTTTATAATTACTTTTAACAAGTTTGTTTGATGTTGTCGTAGAATGGGAAGGTTTGTTTTTCTGATGATACCTGGCCAGATGGATTTAGTGTCAAAACAGGTGATGTGGTGGCATACCATGCTTACGGCATGGGCAGGATGAAATATATATATGGGGTGATGATGCAGAAGAATTTCGGCCAGAGAGATGGCTTGATGAAAATGATCTTTTCCAACAGGAAAGCCCTTTCAAATTCACAGCCTTCAGTGTAAGAAATAAATTAATGTTGATATGATCAGTAACACATGCCACATTTTATTAAAACATGCACAAAGGATGAGTAGACTTATAAATTATGGAGAATTCTAAATAAATTTGTTGATTTAAACAGGCGGGTCCAAGGAGTTGTGTTGGGGAAGGACTTTGCTTACAGAGAGGCTTTGATATTTTCTGCTGTGCTTTGGGGCCGCTACATGTTCAAGCTGAGTGATGACAACAAAGTACCATGCTCACCCTCCATTTTAAAAGGGGGCTCTATGTCCAAGCCTCTCTAAGACTGTGGCATGAAAAATCTTAATTAAACTATATATTATTAGTTTTTTTATATATTAACTTATTAATTAAACTTTTCTATATAATATTAGTTTTTTTTTGGGTCAAACTATATATTATTAGTATTGAATCTGTTATTGTAATGTTGTTTATATCCTCTTTATTTATAATACCACCAGCCTCCCACATGTGTGCCGGAGATTTTTTTGGGATCATGCGCTATGTGTGACTTACAATTTTTCTAATTTTTCTATTTTTGTAATTGTATTTTTTTAGATGACCATCTCAAGTATTTTCTTTTATCGACCTTATTTTTCTAAACATCCATCTTAGCAGATGCTATAAAAAAAGAAAAAAAGTATAATTAGAAAACAAAGAAAGTAATGTAAAGGTAGGTGAACGTGGGCGTATACCCATACCTAGCAATGGATAGATCATTGGAAGAGAATCCTGCAACATGAAATTAGGAGCAACATCAAAATGGGGATAATATCAATTCAGCAGAAACAAAAGAAAACAAAACCCAAAATTAAAAACATGTAACCAATTGGACATTTTATTTGGGTGGTGAAGACAACTGGTTAAAGTTGAGAAATGTAGGTTTAAAATCAATCAAATTGAAATCAATTGAATGAGTTGAAAAGAGTAGGCAGAGCACTAAAGAAGCAAAGTTTGTCAGACAATATAAATCATTGAGAAAGGGATATCTCATAGGCCTTATTAATACTAGCCTCTCTGCACACGCTTCCGCGTGTGCGAGAGGCTTTTTTTTAATCACGCGCGACTTACAAAGTTTTGTAAATATTTTTTCGCAATTGTATTTATATAGATGTCCATTTCAACAGTTTCATATTTTAATTGCGCGTGTGTGATAAATCGTCATCTTAAGAGTTTTCCTTTATCGCCCGTATTTTTCTAGACGTCCATCTTAGCAGTTTCTTTTATAGCGTGTAAACTACTAAGATGGACGTCTAGAAAAATACGGGCAATAAAGGAAAACTCTTAAGACGACGATTTATCACACACGCGCGATTAAAATATGAAACTGTTGAAATGGACATCTATATAAATACAATTGCGAAAAAATATTTACGAAACTTTGTAAGTCGAGCGTGATTAAAAAAAAGCCTCTCGCACACGCGGAAGCGTGTGCAGAGAGGCTAGTATTAAATGATATAACTGCTCGGCTATGCTCTTTAATAAAAAAAATTATGACAAAAGGACCCTCCTGGTTGCATTAGTTTATACTTTATAGATATTAATTTGGTATAGCCACGTGGCTATACGAATAAAATACGTACGTGTTTTATTCGTCCAAATTTTGGCAAATTACAACTTAAAAGTTCGGCCACTATATAATATTTTAATATACTTTATTTAAAATATTATTTGTATTCAATAATATGTGTATAATACGTGAATTTTGTGTGTATTATTGAAAATGTTATAAAAAAAATATTTGTATTAAACATAAAAAATACGTATGTACATGTTCAATACAAGTATTGTACGTTTGCTTTTTTTAAAAAAAGTGAATTTTACCTAGTTTTTTAGACATGTACAAAACACAGATGTATTTTTAAAATATAGATGCGTATTTGTATAATACAATATTAAACATGAAATTGCTAAATTCTTTATACGGCTAATAACTTTGGAAAAGTAAAAAATCAAAAGGGGACAATAGAGACTCGTGTAATGTCCTAGTAGTAATGGATAATACTCTAAACTACTCTTATCAATAAACGAAAATTGAGGAAAAAAATATAAAAGAAAAAGAGGATCCGAGTATATATACAGAGCATAGTCATGCGGCTATACTATTTATTAAAAAAATTAAAAAAATAGCCGAGTAAAGCTAGGCAGCTATACTATTAAAATTTTTTTTAAAAAAAATCGAGTATAGCTGCGCCGCCGTACCAATTGTTTTAAAGAAATTAGAAAACAAAGTATAGCCGCGCGGCTATACTATTTGTTTAAACAAATTAAAAAACCGAGGATAGCCGCCTGGCTATACTATTTCGGTTTAAAAAAATTGGAAAAAAAGGAGTATAGCCCGGCTATACTATTTCTGTTGAAAAAAATTTGAAAAACCGAGTATAGCCGCGCGGCTATACGCTTTAATTTTAAAAAAATTGTGAAAAGGACCCTCCTAGTTGCATTAGTTTATACTTTATAGATATTAATTTGGTGTTATAAAATTGTGATGAAGTTATAAAATTCAAGTTCTAGTCTTTGATGTTAAATTTTGTGAATTCGCTAGATATAGGGGAAGAGAGTAATTGCATTGATTTTTTTTTTTTTTTTTTTTTTTTTTTTTTTTTATTAAACAATTTAATTGACAAGCCAAAAAACAGGAAGGCAAAAGATTTAATGATAGGACCATGGCAATTTGATATTAAGTGGAAGAGAAGTGTTTAAATTTTCTATCTTATAACTTCTTCATCGTCATACATTGCTTAAGTATATTCCTATTATTTTGTATATAAAAAGAGAAAAGAGGAAGAAGGTATATCCCTATTATTATGCAAACAATAAAGAAAGAGAATCATACATTGTGGAATAGGAAGGGGGTCAAAAGCGAGGGGGGTGGTTACTGGTGATGTGTTCCAAAATAAATTTTGGTTGAACACTGATGCATAGGTGCATTGAGCCTTTTTTAGTTATAAGGAGCAGACGAAAATATCCTCCCTTCCCGAAAGGAAGAATGTGAAATTATTTTTTTCTTTCCGCAGGGATCAGGGGATTGGATCTAGCCGTAAGAAGAATGCTTGGCTGATAAATAACTCACTTCTTGGTCCTTAAACTTAACGGAAATTTTAACGAGGTTAGACATAGGTGGTGGATTGCAGCACTTTATAAAGTTTAGGTGGTTAAAATAAAAATTAAGAGTTTAGGTGGTGATGACGCACTTGCCTAAAAGTTCAGGTGGTATTTATGCAAATTTCTCAAAATAAAATTATGTATGTTCAAATTTACCTTTTCTCTTATCTTTTATTATATATGCTTCTATTTTTTTTTTTTGGTTGGACGTATTATATATGCTTCATTATTAATAAAAATGAAATCCGTTTACCATAAATGAATATTTTAAAAGCATAGCCTTTTTGTCTTTGTATACAATAAAACAGATCAATTTTAAAATAACCAAAAACACCAAACTCAACACTGAAACAGATTCAGAGAGAAAAAAAAAAAAAAAAAAAAAAAAAACCACTCAAACGTTGTAAATCAAGGAGAGAATTGATGCACTTACCTAAGTTAGAATTCTTGTAAATAAGAAGCAGATGATTCTGTAAATAGTGAAAAACAGAACATAAGAAATTGTGAAGAAAAAGAAAAAGAAGAAGAATACCTATTGTTGGTTAGGGAAGAACGTGAAAACTCTGCTCTCTGTTTTTTTTTTTGGTGGGTATGTGAAGAGCACCTATATTTTTTTGCTGGAAGCGTGTGAAGATTGAAGAGAGTTAGGGTAACCAAAACAAAATGAGTGCGAGAATTTTGGGTTATCGTTTTTTCTATTATTTTTTATTGCCCTAGAGCGGGAGTATCAAATGAATGATTGATTTGGATTCTTAATATACTAGTAGTTCAAATCATTGTGATCAAATGAATGGTTGAGTAAATGAAAGTTTTTTTACAATCATTGTCGTAGTTCCACAAGTGGAACTCTTAGACATTAGCTATGCCTTATATGCTTTCAGTCGAGGAGATGTAATATGTGTAATAAAATAAAAAGGATGAAACATGAGCTAGGGTGATTTTATTGGACAAGAAAATAAAATTTTTAAACTTTATGGGATCGAACTGTTGCATTATTTTAAGTAAGTATTTTTTATTTTATCAAATTTAAAGTAAGTAAGTAATTGATGAGCTTATTATTGTGTAGATAATTAGGTATTAGTCGTTAAATATGTTGAGTAACCCAATATGGTTTCCCCTCATTTAGTGATTAGAAACCTTTGTGGCATCGAGTGCTTGAGATATATGTGACTAGTACACCTTTCTCAATTTCTAGACGACTGGCAACAGAAGAGTTTACAAGGTGTCTTATCGGACTCTGTACGCTGGGTTATTTTGACGTGTAAGGGAGCTGGGGGAAGAGGAAAAGTCCTAATTTATTAATTTGTTTAATTAAAAATAATAAAAATTAAAAAACACTTGGTTATATTTATTAATTAAGGGTAAATTTGGAAAATAAAAACTAGTTTGTTTTAAGGGTAAAAAGATGTCACATATCATGGGTGCAGTTTCCGCCATAGTTGTATTATTATGTGTCCTCGGATTCTTGGTTTTCAGGCAAAGAAGAAGAGACAAGGACATCGATGATGACCCATTTCTACCTTCCGGTTTATGTCGTGAGTTTTCATTGTCGGAGATCAAAGCCGCCACCAGAAACTTCAATGAGGGTTCCATTATCAGTGTTGGTGGGTTTGGCCGCGTGTACAAAGGGAGCATCGATGCTGGAGGCTCTTTATTTATAGGCAAGGAGAAAGCTTCACATGATGGAGGCTGAGAGAGGATTTAGCTGCTTTCTCAAAGTCAGCTATTGATTCACTGATCCGAACTGGTTCATAGGAGGGATGACGGAACGTTTCTGAACAATTGCTAGTCTTTTGTGATAATCTTTTGACTTGAGTCCTTTGTGCTCGAAAACCTGGTTGGCCACTTGGTTCGTCTTTGGTTTTGGTGGCTTTTGTATAGCTTATTTCCTTGCTAACCGAGAAGGTGGTCAAATCATCATTAATGGTGACAACCACTTTCAGACTCTCACGTGGGTCAATGTGTAACGGTTATCGATCATTTTAACTTTAGTGTGACTCAAAAGTCTAGGCTTCCTATCCCTAGGCTTTTACTAACTTCTTTTTATTCTGATGGCCCTCTACATAAAAGGGATCCTTTAGTTTTTAGAAAAAGACAAAGGTTGTTGGGCCTGGGCCTTTAAAATATCCTATTTTGAGAAGTGAACCATATTTTTTGTCTATTTTCCAAAATTGGGTACAAACGTTGGAGTGCTTCTATAGTGAGTGGAAAGTTATAAGGGGTGTTTTTGAGGGGTATCTAAGAGCCGTCGGATAAAATCCAATGGTGAGTTTTCAATGTTGTCTTTTTGGTAAAACCGGGTTGAAATTACCCATACCAAAAGAGGCAATCCGAAAGTGCAGAACACGCTCTTTCATCGTTAACCCTCCTTCCTCGCCAGCCACCCACTCTGTAATATGTTATTCTCTCTCTCTCTCTCTTGCCATCTCTGGTTTGTGGTTATCAAAGAACCAAAATCCGTTCAGTAAATATCTTGCAACCAACACAGACACAATGGAGGGTTTTGAGTCTTCTTTTATTATTGACACTTTATCACCTCAAAAATTCATTTTCTGACGCCCAAGTTCTCCTAATTCCTCTCCTCTCTCGCACTCTCCCAAATCTTGCCTCAGCTTCAGCTCGCCAACCATCTCGCTACTGTCCAATCCCGTTCTCCACCCATCCATCGTCATAACCTAGCTCTCCTCAAATTCGGAACCCTAGTTTGACCCTAACCAAGCCGCCGCAACTCACGACCTCCGTCGTCGACCTCCACCGTGAAGCCACAGTCGCGACCTCCATCGTCGTTCTCCACAGTGGTGAGTTCTGATATTGGTTTTGTACTCTCTGTCTGTTATAAATTCGTTGATCCCCCTTTCTTTATTATTGCAACAGTAGGGGCATTCATGGCGCCGCTCCAGCCTCATCTCCTTTGCTCTCTAACTGTTAGTTCTCTTCTTCTCCGTCTTCAAATTTCAGTACTCTTCCTGACCTGAACCACCTACTTCTCTGGTTCTCTTCATCTTCATGTCATTCAATTTCAATTTTTTTTTCCTTTCTAAATTCTACTTTTGGGGTTTAGGAATTAGGGATTCAGTTGGGCATTTAGAACTTAGGGATTAATTTTCAAAATTCTAATTTAGGGATTCATTCAATGCCTAATTTATGAGCTTTGGCTTTATGAATTATGAAGTAGACTACTTGTTTTTAATTGATCATTGGTAATGGTATTATTGTAGTTTTTAATTGATCTTTGCATATTTCAGATTTTAGCCTTACAATTTTAGTGGCTGGGCAGCTTGCAATTTTGTGTGGACAGGTTATTAAATTCTTTTAGTATTAATGGAAGTTGTGTTACTAAATTACCAGTACCTATGCTCTTGGTTGACATGGTTGTTATGAATTGTAAGATTAGCTTACTATTCGATGGACCCACTTGCTGATATTAGGAAATGGAGTTATTAATTGAAATGAATGGGAATCTGCTTGTTTCTTATGCTATTAGATTTTGTGTGAGTGTGATGCTAATCAGCCATTAAAATACACATATTTTGGTGTTAATATTTGAAGTATTGGAACATGGGAAAGTTGAAAACAGGCATCTTCATGAGATGCTTGAGCAAGATTTGAAGTATTGCAAGAGCATTAAGTAGACCTCCTTTGATATGGCTTGCTGTAGAATGTAACATATGGATCTGAATTCCTTGTTCTGAAGGTGCCCCTGTAGATTATTTGTTTCAAGTCATGATTCTCTTACACCTATATAGAAACATAGGATTGGTTTGTTTTTATTTTATCTGGAATTGTTTGTTTTTTAGAAAATGGAGAATATTGGACTGCTTCAGAAAATTGTGGTTGTTTTGTTCACTATTGCCTTCTTTAGGAAGCTTATATAAAGTACATGTGGAGCTTCTTAAGTCAGACAATTCCATATTGGCCCATTTTTTGCCAAACCATCTGCTGATTTTTTAATGGTTCTTGTTGTTCCTAATCATGTTCCCGTAATATCACTTTTTGCAGGGCCTTCATTGTGTCTGGAAGGTTGGTTCCAGCTAATGATGTTCTAGCTACACTGTATTCTCTACCAGATAAAGTGGTAGATACTGTCGGTATTACGTCATTGCCATCTGAAGATTCTATATTTGAAAGGCGAAGGAAATTGGACTTCCTTCATATGCAGGAAGAACTGATGAAGGTTGGAATATTTTTTCTTTTATCTTGATAGCTTTATAGATATCTATTGGTGCTTTAGGAAGCTGCAGAACTAAACTTGCTAATCTGTATTTCATCAGGAGGAAAATAAGTGTGTATTTTGTTAAGCCAGTTTTGATGCATTTGTTTTGGACTTGGCTGAAATTCGGAATCCAAAAAATAAAAATAAAAAAAGGATGAGCAATCAAATAATAATGTTGAAAACAAAACTCCTGAAATCAATATTATGACTGTCATCCAGAGATTCTAAATTATTATATTGCAGAAGGAGGAAGAGAGAGAAAGAAGAGCAAGCCAAGATGAAGGAAATTAAAGCCAGTGAAGAGGATTTGGCATTGAAAGAGATGATTATTCCAACAGCAAAAGAAGCACGAGAACAAGCAAGGGCAAGGACACTAGAAAAGGAAGAGAAGATCTGCGAAATAAGTTGTGCATTGGCTGTTTTGGCTTCTGCATCTGTAAGGACTGGACTTAATAACTCTCAATGATTATGATTGTTGATTTTTCATTTTTCATTTTCCAAATTTTCAAGCACTATCATCTACACTATGGCTTAACAGTTTTTAATTTTTTCTGTTATTGACTCATTATTTCAGTCAGTTAGTAGGGAGCGTGAAGCGTTCCTGAGACTTGTCAATTTGGAGGTAATTTAAAACCCTTAATTACTCCTAGTTTATATTAGGTATCTATTAAGATGGAAGCATTTATCGTTGGTACCCTTACCATAGGTATGCATGGCATGCTAGTCTTCTCATGCTCGATATATGCAGACGCATTGGAGGTTTAACTGCTTACAGTTTATCAGGAGGACCGTACATCACAAATATTGTCTGCAGTTCTGATTTCCATGTTTCTGCTTGTACTGTGGATGTATTGGAAGAATTTGGATGTTGATGTCCACTATGCTTTGGCCCCTTTTAGTTTGAAGGATGTGTAGATTGACGACTTTTTAACTTTTAATGTGATTTACTTATGAGCTGTCTTCTACACATTATGTGAATGCATGCAACTCTGTCTTCAGCGTCATGTTCAAGTCAGAAGAATACTTCTGTATGTTCTTGTTTGAGTCCAAATGCATTGTCTTTGGGAATATTTTGCTTAAGTTGATTCTTTTGATCTTTCCAGATTGAACTTTACAATGGCATGGTGGAGAAAGAGGGTACAGATGGTGAAAAGGATGCCTTGAAGGCATATAAAGTTGCTCATGATGAAAGTGACAGTACTTCTGTTGAGGCTGAAGGTGACGAGGTTTCATCAGCGCTTATAGACAAGGTTATATATGAAATTCTGAATTATCTACTTTTAACTTACTTACCCCGTGTTCACTTGATGGATTATCGTATCTTCTATGTATCAGGTGGATGCAATGCTTCAAAACCTTGAGACGGAAATTGATTATATATGCGCATATTGGTGATCTCTGGCAATTACTTGACTGGTGAACTCGTCTTGTTTCGTCTTTGGTTTTCTTTTCCTATGAGTTCTGTTAGAAATCATACTTCCTACTGAATGGAAGCAATCCTTCTTTTCTTGTCTTTCAATCTGTAGTCGGTTTGAGTTGTTATTAAACTCATTTTGAGGGATACTAGTAATGTTAAACTTTGATGGATGGTATTGCATTGGAATTTTGTCCATGTAATTAAAGGTATGAGGTTTACAATATGTGTGCATGGATTTTGATGGGAAAGTAACTCCTAATGAGGTTGCAGTTGCTCCGAACTACTTGAATTATACTTTAGGCAAGGAGGGCATCCAAGAACTCATAGGCAACCTTTCCAAAGATAAAGGTGAGTGAATTTTGTTTACACCGTATATGTATAGGAATCTAAATCTAATATGATGATGATGATTTTTCCTTGAAGTTAATTTGATTGATTGATTCATGAAGATGATGATGATGATGAATGTTGTTATCTTTGTGTGTGACAGATGAGAAAATTCGTGTGGAAGATATTGTGAAATTGGGCAGCCGGACAGAAGATGCAAACCAAGCTGAAGATGAGGGATTAGGGAATAATATATATGAGTCACTGACTGACTTTATTCATGATATATATATCTGAGACTCTGAAATGGTTGTGGAGTGGATTTGGTTAAATCCACTCTCTAGGTTTTGTTTTTCAATATACACGCAATGCAACAAACCAAAATTGTTTACCTACTTGCATGCAACACTAGTTAATGTTCTTCTTTCTTAGGTCCAAAGACCCATCTTCCTCATCCGCACAATTAGCCACCGCAAGCACCACCAATGAGTTTGCAAATCCAATTTGTAATATTTGTTCTTGAAATGGGTGGATTGGCATTGGCTTTAAATTTTTGTTTGAAACAAAAGCATTTATTTATCTAAAACCTAACAAAAACTTTCCAAGACAGACTTTGAAAAAAAGTGAAATGACAATGAAAAAAACTTATAAATTTCAGATTTATTGCATGTATATTGCTTGTTTATTGCAATAAACATGCTCAACAAGATAACTCTAATACAATCTCTCTCCTATC